AACATTTCGAATCTATAATAGGCTCAACAATCTTTATAAGATATCCACTAGAAAGTTAAGAATAGGATAAATCATAGTTAGTGGTTCTTATTTCCAATTCACATTTTAAACTTTATAGAATTGGCAAGATTCAGAAAAAGATTGCAACTTATATCAAAAGATCTGTATTGTTTAAATAAACACACCTATATTTTGTTTTTATTTAATTTCGACTATGGAAATTCGAATTATAATGAAAAGCTTGAGATGAATCTTTTTTTTCTTTTGTCTAAATGAATATTTAATAGCTTTTGCTGATTGAGATCGTGAGATTTTTTTTTTGTTTTAAACAATATTGTTGAGCATAATTTATTTTTATTCATTGATTAACAATTATATGAACTGTATAATAAGAAGTACTTAATATTAAGAGCTTCATACATTTCCCATACATATTTCTACATAATGATGTTTATCTTTTCTTTTCTTTTCTTTTCTTTTTTTTTTATAAACCAATGGTTTAACAACTACCTATTGTCAACACTTCATAATTATATTCACAGTAGGAAAATTATTGTGATATACACTTATCACACGAAGAAGTGAGCTATTATTTAGGTGATAAATTTCTGATTGTTTGATGAGTTTTGTTTTGAGAACAGCTTCTTTTTTTTTTCTTACACATTATTGTGACAAAATGAATAGAATAGAAAAGATAAATCAGTTGTTATTTTATTTGATTGCAAAATTATGTTTTTCACACTATTCTACTTTTTAATATCAGATTATCGACTCAGTTACTATTTATTAACTTAGGTGGGCAATATGTTTCTATACAATGTGATTATTAACAGATGTTGAGTATCTCAACATGAAACAAAAATCTTGAGTTAAACATGTCTACAGATCGTTGTTTTTATTTATTAAAGGATTAAAATAAAACATGTATGTAATGCTGATATTTTCCATTGTTGACAAAATCGTACCATCTTTGTATAGAGCAGGCCACTTTTTTATGGCCCGGACCCTAAAGAAATTTCGTTTACAAAGATTTTTTTTCTTAGTAGATATCTATTCCATATTTTTCGGCTTTTATAAAAAGTGATGACCAAGGGAGAGTAGTGTGGAGAAGCTTCCCTATCACCCTCAGGGATGAGCCAAATCTCAGAAAAATTTATGTCAAAAAAGAATAAAATTGTCGGGTCGGGCGACTCGTTTCGAGGCCTGCTATAGAGTTAGTTTCATTTCCTGAATTTTCATTAACAAAGATAATATGTTAATACTGTATAAAACCCTCAATTGCGAACCAGTGAGGCTTGATCAGTTTTAGTCACTTTATTTGGATAATTAATCGTTTTGGTTAAGACGATCAAGAAAAAATATTATGTTTTCTTTTCGGACATAAACTGAAATACAAGATTTTTTAAAAAATATTTATGCTAATTTATTTTTATTTTTTAAAGAGAAGAATTAGCTATGCGTATTGATCTAACTGAAGCACGTGTTCAAGTATGGTTTCAAAATCGACGTGCTAAATGGCGTAAACGTGAAAAAATGAATTCACCAATAACATTATCAACTACACCGACACAAATATATCCATTATTTACACCTCCAACAAGTCTTCTTACTTGTCTTAGTTCATTTTCTCAAGCAGAAATTTTATCATCATATTCATCACTTACATCATCATTTCTTAATGCAACATCAACATGTTTACCAATGTTTTCATCAATAACACCATTTTGGTCATCAACAAATCAATTTGGAATGACATTTTTACAACAATTAGCACAATTAGCTTCAATATCTTATGAAGATATAAAAGATCAAAATATTAATAAGAACAGTAATAATATATTAGAAGAACAAAATTTTGAAAAAGAAGAAAATCATCGAATCAATAGTAAAGCTACATTAAATCTTAAAGCACTTGAATATTCAAATAAAAAATCTGAATTATCATCGTTTACTATTGATTTTTAACGGTCAATTTAAACGCGAAACAAAAGAAAAATAATCATTTCTTGTTTGTATGTTCTTTTCTTCTGTACAAAAAAAAAAAAATGAAACATATAAGTGTGAGAATAAATGAAATGATTTCCTGTCATCAAATAAACAAATATATAGGTGTACTTCGGCTTGTTCAACATAAAACATTTATAAATTAATGATTGTTAGTTTAAGGCACATGATGTGTCAATTTAATACATTCATTTAAATAAGCAGATGTGCTATTTCATTCATTTGTTAATAAGTATATGTATTATGAAACAAAATCGATCGATGACGAATAATTTTTATATTTGTTTAAAATAAGAGAATAAATATTTGAATAGAATAGCTTTTAAGAGATGAATTATGAAAAATGAAACTTTTAATGCTTGAATAATTCATTAATGATTTTTAATATAACACAGAACAAGATTAATTGGGACATATTTCTTCACCATCCTTTTAATTAGTTTTCTAGAAATGTCATAAGAAAGGAGTTCATATAGTTATTATAACGAGACTTTAATGATATACGATCTTTGATGGTGGGAAGACGTTGCTAAGGCATTTATCACGATCTGTGCCAGAAAGAAGGGGGACCGTGGATGCATATTTCTACTCTATATACTTCAACACTTCTTTTAGATCGTATCCACATACCTGAGTTGTAAGACAATGGTGAATCTAGAGCTTTGGGTCGGGGAGATGATAGTTGTAAAACGTGTTTTGAAGCCCATTAGAGGTCGTATCAACTCATTTTTGGGCGTTTTCTGCTGAGAAATATTTCTGAAGGGAGGAGCAATCGTCTCTAGTGTCTCCCACTCTCTAAATCCACTACTGTAGCAAGAGTACTCATCTAAGAACTATTTATCGGAATACTTGTACACTTTCTCTACTTTTTCTTTCGTTTGACAGTTTAATGATTTATTTTTCTCTCTTCAATTTATCCTAGAATAAAATGAATTTGATTAGTTAGTTATAGATTCGGAATGTATTCCTGAGGAAATCAGTTAATGGCAATACTAGAAATAAACGACTAGTGAAGAAATCTTATTTTGCTTTATGTTAAATGTTCGAATTGGTTTTACCTATCGATACCTATCAGAGAATTCAAAAATAATACTTGACATCGAAGTTAATTTTTTATAATTTGAATAAAAAATTCAAGAAAGAATCTATTATTAGATAAATGCAATTTTACAAGTTACTAATATATCAAATCGACTTTTTTCACTTTTAGGTTAGAATTATAATCAATGTTTTGAACATCGTTTCTAAAATGTTATAAAATATTCATTTAATCATCATAAATCAAAAGAAGACCATCTAGCAATCTCATTCTCATTGATGATTTCTATAAATAAATGCTTGTGAGAACTACTCGTTCATTAATTAACAAAGAACTTAAATGAGCATGAGAAAATTACTTGAACAAGAAAGATGTAGAGATGTTTTGAAATTTATTTAATTCATTCTTTGACAAAAAAAGAAGTTTAAAATAAATATCACAATTAGTCAAGACCTATGGTTTATATATCATTATAAACTCGAACTTGAATCAATATCGATTTTTTTGTATAACTTGTGTCATTGTTTTTATCAATGTATGAGATTCGATTATTGGATTGAATTCTTCTTTTTAATGAGAAATATTATTCTGAAAAAGAAGTCGTTTCCTTTATTTTAGTAGATGTATCAATTCGATTAATTTAATTTGTATGTTTTAAGTAATCATTGTTTAGTTTCATCTGCTATTAGCCAGTTTACTGAGTTCTTGACGGCGATCTATTAAATAATTGTATTGAAATCCTTGTAAACGATCTCTAAATGTTTATATAGTTATATCTTCCTACATGTAATACAGCATACTTCATCAGTAGCCTTCACCATTCAGAAATTGAAAATTCAACAGCACATTGTGACGGAATTCGAATTCTTCTTCAATAAGGGTGGGTCGAAACACTGGAACACTAAAGCACCACCGAAGGAACTCCGAAGATTGATACATATTATTCCAATTCAGGAGCTTCCAACAGTGAATTCTTTGGATTTTGAATCATTCAAGAAAATTTAGGACATTCTACAATGAGAGAGTTTGAAACACTGTTACACACAATTCCACTGACGGGGCTACAAAGACTGGTACATAAATCCTGATATGAATGCTCTAAACACTGAACCCCACTTGATTTCCTTGAATTTCTAATTTCTAGACAGTGACTATATCTCAATTAGTTAAAAAAGTCTCACATAAATGTCTTCATTAATCAACTTCTATTTTCTGAGTATTATAGATTTAAAAGATTTCTACAAAATAAAATAAAATATTGATATAAGTAAACTCTATTTTCAACTGCATCTTATACGGATAATTCGTTTATCATTGAATTATATTTTCTATTTAGTTTATTTATATTGATAATATTGTATTCTATCTTGAAAGAATAAAAATATACATGCAAATGAAGAAGAAAATTGTCAATAATATCCAAACGATTATTCATATTAAACTCATTATTGATAGCTTGAATCAAAAAATAACTATGAGTTCTAATGGAAAATTTTATTTAGGTTCCAAAACTTCCATTATCATAATTTATAAACACATCCATATTATTATCGTAAAAGTTCGTAGCTGTAATATTTAAAACAAATTAAAATTTACTTTTTATTCAAGAAAAGTGTATTAATACTTAGTATATGTTGATTTTTCATTTCATTATTTGAATAGAATCTACTAGATATATAACAATCAGACATTTGTATATTAACTGCATACATAGTTTTTCTCATACAAAATCATATTGAAGACGGGATATGTACTATTGGATTTGAAGAATATAAAATAACTGAAAAGTTTTTAATATAATTGCTTGTTTATTATGAACATTCAAAGACAAAATCATCTTAAATCTTGAGAAAACAAAACGGAATATTTTTCGGACAATGGATCAAACACTAGACTATTGATGCTCCTATAACACTACATGAGAGAGCGTAGAATACAGCAAAAACGAAAGAGGAAATTATGGTTGTTTCCCACGGTCTGGATTATGTGCATCTGTGGAGCCACCGGCTTTTCCATAAGGTGGATCGTTACTAGTCGTTTTAGTTGGATCACTCCAATCCTGTCGTTTTGTACCTAAAATATTACAAAAAAAAAAAGAATTAATACTATGGTTTGTGATAATATTTTTACCTGGCTGTTTTGTATCATCGACTGACTTCAATTTTCGTTTTTTATCACTAGTCTTCGTTTTATTTAAATCGCTACCTTTGTTTGGATCAGTCTGTTTCCCACCTATCAAAATTATACAGTTTAAATGTTTTATATGATATGTTCTTTTCTTTAATCTTATACTTTCTTAAGTTTCATTAAGGGGATCTCCGCCCCCTTTCCCGACTCAAAATTTTCGCATTTTTCGTTTTTCATTTTTCATTTTTTGTGATTAGTATCTAGGTTTAAATACCCTCTATCCATTGAGCACACGTTGAGAACTGAAGACCCACATCTTATATATAAAAAACTCGAAAAAAATCCCAAAATATGCTGAAAAAACCAAAAAACACAACTTTCTTTGCGTTTTTCTTAAAATCAGTTTTTTCACCAAAAAAATGAAGTTCCCTCCCCTCTTTTCTTCCTTCGTACTCCAACCAATCGAGCTCAAATTTTTACTGTGAATACTTTGAACAAATTGAGGTGCGTCTTTTTTTTTCTCTCGAAAATATTCTTCCTAAGAAATTTTACTAGGAACCACAAAATTGGCACTATAAGAAAAAAAACACATTTTTTGATAGTACTATCAGTAATTTGGTTCTCCTGACCCTCAGGAACGATATTTTCCAAAGAAAAGAAAAAGACACACCCCAATTTGTTCCTAGTTTCTGCAGAAAAAATTTCAGCCCCAGACAATGGAGTATAAGAGTTTGTGGAGGGGGAGGGGGAAACTTTAGGTCATTTTTCGCCCTTGGATCGCAAATATCTCTGGGAAGGAAGCATTTTAGAATTCTGAGTCTATGACAACTTTTACTCTACTCATCGAGATCTATGTACCCTGAAAGTTTCAGAAAGTTTCACCCGGCCATTCTCGAGAAACCTCGGAAAGGGGGGATCCCCTTAAACGAATCTAAACTAACAAATATTTAACAAACAAAGTATTATTCTAATAATCAAATTTAAAAGATTCGAGAGTAATGACTCAAGTTTGACTGTTAATAATACAATCTTTGTTTTTATTTGTATAGACTCTATTAATTTATGTAAAACTAATTCATATAAAATTTAAGGGAAACAATGATTTAACTGATGATAATCTCATTCAATCACTTTGGATGATTACGAAGATATTCACAAGCTAAAAGATAAATTTAATTGAAATTCCTATGAACGTGGAAGAAAAATTTTCTGTAGAATTAAATTATCTTTCCACAAATAAACGTGCTACTGTTCCAACTGTAATCCATTGCTTAAAGTTATATTGAACCAACAAGGAGGTCTTGATGAGGCTAGGAAAATTTTCAAAGGATTTGCGGCTATAGATCTCTGGAGCAGAAGTATGACTATTTTACTTAATTTTCGATCCATCTTTAAGTATTTACTTTCAGCCGAAAAGAATATTCATTTGTCGAGATATTGAGTTTCCAACAAATAGTCGCTTGCCACAAAAATCGAGTTTAGTTGAAAACTCAACATCTCGACAAAGAAACCTTCAAGGATCTTTAGAACTAGCTTTGGGCTAAATTGCAGGTTGAAATTTTGTTACTTGATTGTCCTGTAAATATCTAAAAACCTCGATAAAATGGTCGTAATTCAGCTTTAGAGGCTCATGGACGTAAACCATTTTAAGTTTTTTCTAATCTCATCGAAGCTTCCTTATAAGCTCAAACAGCGAGTTACAATACAAATAGTTCTCTTATAAGTGTTCGATTAAGCAGAAAATCTCAATAGAATGAAGAAAAGCCATCAATCTATATAAAAACTGACAGATTAAACAAGATCTTGTCTTTACGATAAACCTTAACATATAGAAATTTTTCTACAGAAAAAAAAATCAATTCTTATTGTTCTACTTTTTCCATAAGCTGATGAACTTGGATCACTGCCATCATAACGAACTTGCTGTACAATCAACGAAGGACGTGTAAATGTCAAACGTTGTTTCTAGAATATATCTATATAAATTTATTGTCTGAAAATAAATATTTCACATACAAATGCAGCTGTTAATGACTGCCGTATTGATTGCATAATCTAAAATAATATTACCAATAAGAAAATTTTGTTTCTTGTTATTTTATTTATTAAAAAAAAAGAAAACGAAATTATTCTGATTACGAACTGAAAGAATGAGCAAGAAAAAGAAAAATTTTATCAGTGTTATCATAGTAAACATAAAGACGATACATAGTATAAAAATGACTAATTAAGAAATATAAAATAAATATAAAGCTATTAAAAATAACAAAAAATGAGATTTATTTTTACTGTTCCAACATTTATATTCAACACAGTAGAATCATCATCATCACTGGAGAAAATCAAATAAAAATTTTTGTATTGCTTGAATAAATAATGGTAACTTTATTGTAAACAAACCGGATATAGTTAAATAAATTATATAAAATAAAATAGTATTTAAAAGAATTATTATTCCAATTATTGATAAAACAAATAAAAATGTCAATATAACTTTTTTTGATTCATATAAACCATCTTCTAATTTATGTATACGACAATATAAATTTGATAAATGCTTTTCAAGATATTTTTCATTTGTATTTGAATTATTTTCTTCTTCAGATGTTATTAATGATAGTTGAAGACAATCATTTCGAATATGATTATCAAAATCACCACGACATAAGATATGTTTACATATATTACATTGAATCTAAATACAAGAAAGAAAAAAAAATCAATTCATCAATTGAAAGTCGAAACTCACTAAACAACACTAATTAATTTTTAAATCTATCGAACGTAAAGTCTCTAGATAACGAACTAAAAGAAAACCTATGTTAAAGCAAGAAATATCAGAATATGAGATGTGAACAATGCATTTATACTAACGAATAATATTATTAAGGTGCGGTAAAATATCGAAGAAACCGCTCCAACTGATCAATCACTTTTGAATCATGTAGACTCTAATGATCTATGAATATCTTGAAAACAGTTTGAACTCTTAGTTTATTAGTGCAGAGATACTGTATTTTTACGGGTATACTTTTCAATTAATGCCGTTGTTCTCTTTTAGAAACATCAGAAAAACTGATTTTCAAATTTCGATTTGAAACTTTGCATAGAGACAAACCTTTATTAGAGTAGTTTATTATAAAAGTGTCAATCTTTTCGTTGTTCTCATTTCTGAATAGAAGCAAACCAAAAGACTTGAAACTATATTCCTGATGAGGATTTGAATTTTTCAAGATATTCATAGTTCATTAGAGTCTTTGTCATGCACATAGTCTCGAATTAAAATCAATTAATCAGATAAAGGAGTTCTCTCGTAAGCATAGTAAAGAGTCAGTTTACATAAATTATATTTAATACAATTTAAATACACATTCAATCTTAATCTCAGTGTGTTGTAAGGATATATTCATTATTCATTATTATTGATCATTTATCTTTCATCTAGACAAAATCAACTACTCATTCTTTAAAATCTGAATGAATTAGAAGGTTTGTATTGCCCAATTTATTGTTTGTATATGGAAATAGTAAAAAAAAAGGAGAAAGACTTAAAATTGAAAAAAATTCATTTGCATCAAAGATATTTGTTCTATTATCGTAAAATATGAGATGGACACTATCTTGCAATGTTCACATATTCCTATATATTCTTACTTGAAGTTCATCAAGAGTATTTCTTATAATATCACTTGTCACTATAAGATCATTTAACTCCGTAATCGTCGCTCGACAACATGGACAATATCTTAATTTTCTTATACAACGATTACAAAATGAATTATTACATAAAACATGTGTTTGTGGATCAATTAAAGGATCCAAACATATTGGACATATTAATGAATGTGAGATTTCATCTTGATTAATATATATATAGTTATTAGCTAAAGCATTGATACGATTATTTAATGTTGTACGATACATCATTCGTTATTGATTAGTTAAATTCGATGATATAATTATCTAAAAAACAAAACAATGATTTCATTAAGCAAAAAAAAAGAAGATATTCTTTTTTTTGTTTTCTTGTGAATATTTTTATTTCAGATTATTTGACGTAAACTACGATATATTGATACAACACAATTAATATCAATCCATGTGTACAAAAATATATCACTTGGTAAACCTTTTTTAAAATGAAGATTGAGCCAAATCAATATAATTATAGTACATAATTTACATATGAAAAAAAATAAACGATAAGCAAGACCATGATATGTTCCTAGGCCATGAACATATATTGAATAACATCCAAATAAAAGTATTGCCATATTGCATATAAAATTAATATATTCAAGTATTTGCCGTTGTTCATTATATGATAAACATAATTTTCCAGATATATTTTTTCTTGTTAATAATATTTGATTTGATGAATCAACGAAAAATGAACGATTGAATATAATACTTTGATTTCTTAAATCCGCTAATTCAAGTTTCATTTTGGTCATTTCTTTATTTAAATGAACAACATCTGATAAACAAAGTAAAAAGATAGTACTATAAAAACCGGCTACGACACCCAAAACAATCGATGCTATATTAGTTTCTTCCATTAAGAGAAACAAAAACTAATATTACCTGAAAAAACAAAAAAAGAATAAAATAAATTTTTATTGACTATATTTCTTTTATAACCGTACTAAAGTGAACGTAATAAACTAAATTTTTGGGCAAGAAATTGCATTATAAAACTTATTGATTATTTAATTTAAACAAACAGATCTGCTGCTCTTTGCATTCAATTTAATATTTGCATGTGAACAGCAAAAGGCTATTAACTAAAGTCGTCATTTAGATATGTACTTGATGTGTTGTTCTGTTCTTTCACATGACTGGTGAACCAATTCGACCAATGAAATAAGACGAGATTGTGCTAGTATCCATAAACAATTGTTCTCTTGAAAATAAGAGACTATAAAAGTGCTCGTATTTCTATACATAGAAAAATTACTTCGACAGATCGTAAATTGAATCTGAGTTTTGAAGTTTGAGTTTCATTCTGAAAAATAATCAGAAGTATCCAGAGATCGCTAGGATTCAGGAAGAGATCAATAACTCAAAAGACCGATTAGTAGAGTTTTGATAAACTTGACTGAATTTTGGATGGAGGGATTGTGTATTTTTTGGGAACTGTTTAGCAAAAAAATAATAAAACGTTGGAATTTCACTAGAGAAAAAATGAAAGTCTTTCAAGATTACGGATCATCCCTCGACTCCTTCCACTCCAGACACACCAAAAAATAATGATAAAAATGCATGGAAGCTTTTCACTGT